TGTCAAAGTAACACACTTTGTCCCTGGAATCAAAGTCAAAGAAACACACACTTTCCCTGATCAAACTCAGCACACACACACACACACACACACACACACACACACACACACACACACGCACAGGAAACCAATCAATAAGTAAGTAAGAAACCAGCCAGTCTCTGTACTTGTCCAAGCCCAGGGATCAAATCTGACCAATCCTCACCCTAAAATCTCTTCTCTTTTCCACCCTGGAGAAGGCAGCCACCTCGACTCTCCCCTGCTAATAAATCTCTTGAATGTTGTTTGGGTCAGTTGAGACCATCTATGGCCTGAATGGAGCAGAACAGAGAAGGAACAACTTTCAGGGGACCAGAACAGAAGTGTAATGTTTTCATGCTTTTGCTTGGGAAACCTTCTCCTACTGGAGCCGACTTTCTAAACTCCCTGAGGCTTGAGCAGAACTGTAACCACTTTGCTGGGGAAACCCTCCCCTGCCGGAGCAGTGCTGTTACATTGGAAAACCTTTCCCTGCAGCAGGGCTGTAAGCTTCTCTGCTTACAGTGACTGTGTGGTATTCCTTGGTTCTTGACTCCAGAGATCCCTTGCCATCTTAGCTGCAAGGCTTAGAGAGTCTTTCTTAGCTGTAGGGAAAATGATCAGCTAAGAAGCACACCCTGAAAAGAGACAAACACATTTTGTCCCTGCAATCAGGAGCAAGGATGTTCACACTGGCCCTGAAACTAAAGCCAAATAAACATACTTTGTCCCCGGTATCAGAACCAGTGAAAGAAATAGACCTTGCCTCTAAAACCATAGACAAAAGGGTAAAAAGCACCAGTGATAGAAACCCACTTTGGCCCTGAAACCAAAGCGAAAGAAACATGCTCTGCTCCTGACCAACTCAGCACAAAATCTTCCAATCAGTGAGCACTAATCCAAACAATAACTCAGTGAAACAGCAATAATTTCAGGATCATAATTCATTACACTTAAAGGGACTCTAGGCATATATTTATACCACCCCTTGAAGTCTCCAGACCCTTGGGTCCTAACAATGGCCATGCCATTCCCAGGCCAACTGTCTAGTCCAAAGCAGTTAACAAGCCCAGAACAGTCACTCTCCTGGAAGACCAATCCCATTGTCCAAATAGCTGAGGGGTCCCCATCCCTTTTTTCTGCTCTTCATAAGGTCCACCACTTACTTAATCATTCCCAGACAGAAATCCGCCAGTATTGTTATGCTTAGACACCTGGTTCCTATAGTACACAGGATTAGGAACTAGCCAAACGGTCAGCCCATTGAATGACAAAACTCACTGTGACTGGGGGCAGCCCAAAATTGATGTTAGAGGACTTAATCTAAGCATTTCCCCTCATCTTGATGCCTGCTACTCTGCCTTATGGGTTAATTAATTAGGATAACGATGATCTTATTGATCCCATGAGAGTACTTGGTGGGCCTGCAGTGATGATTTTAGTAAATTTTCTTCTGTTGCTGCTTTCCAACCTAAGTAGACAAATTGATTACGACCTAGAGGACTTAAGTGTTTCCATTTCTGAATCGAAACAACAGTCAGATTCCTAGCAGAAATGGTCTTACAAAGGGAGGCCATGCATGATTTGGGGGGAAAAACTGTTCTATCAATGTTACCTGATCAGAAGTAATTAGAGAAAATCTTGCCATGGTTGGGAGAGAGAAAGAGACAAAGACATAAATCAAGTAATTGGTACTAGTCTCTGTTATCCTGGTCCCCTCTGGCTAACTACTCTGGTATCAGCACCCACTGGGCCTTTAATTCTCATTTTGATTGGGTTAATTGTGAGGCCCTGCTTCTTAAACTTCATGGCCAATTATGTTTCAGTTCAATAAATTAATGGTCCTGAGGACCAACTACACCTCTTTGGAGCAGGATGAGTCTGTGATTTGACTTATTCACTAAGACTAGTGGGGGATGTAGTAGACCTTCAGACCTTAGTAAGCCCCTCAGACCTTAGTACAACTGATTCCATGGTGGAAGTGCCATTCAGGCCATAAAACTCACCTTGTAGACAGCATCACCTGGCAAAAGAAAACCAAAGGCCTAATCTATTAAAGTCCATAGATCTGGGAAAGTCTCTTAATGGAACACCCTTGCTATTTTGGCTTCTGTAATTCTGCTTCTGGCTAACTGTTCTTGTTAACTGAAGTATGTCAACCCAGAACATCGTTTTTGTGCTTAAAAGCTCACCCTGCAAAGGCTCAGGGCCACACTGGTATCATGAACACCCAGTGTAGTTGTTAGCTGACTAACAAAGGCTTTCCTTCTATTCTAAACTCTTGCCTAAGTTGTCTCCTCTGGTGGATATCCCACAGCAGTGACTATCAGATTTTCAGTGTTCTCTCCCAGTAGATACTGGGGCATGGTGCTGTCCAAAAGTTGTGCTTTACCACTTACTACTACTACTACTACTACTACTACTACTATTATTATTATTATTATTATTATTATTATTATTATTATTATCTTTTCTGTTGGAGAGATTCATACCTGTGTTGATATTTTGAACAAGGACACCATCCTATTCTCTCCCTTCCAATTACTTATCTATCCCCAAATGCAACATTTCCCTCCCTACTTCATGTGTTTTCTTTTTTAAAAACAAAACAAAATACCCTGGTATTCCACTTAGTGCTGCCAGCATGCATGTGCATGGGAGTAGGGCTATCTTCTGGAATATGGCAGTCTCTCAGGTGCCTCATCTTTGAAGAAAAGTGGCTCTCCCTTTCCCAACATCCATCAAGTGTAGTTCTCAGCTGGCGGCAAGGATTCTTGACTTCCTTCTCTCTCCATGCTGACATTTTGTCTGATTTAATTTTGTGCGGGTCTTGTACATATAGTTACAGCAACTGTCAGTTCAAATGGTGCAATTGCAGTTGTGTTCAGAAAACACTGTTTCACTTTAGCAACCAGCTGCCTCTAGATCTTAAAATCTTTCTGCCTCTTTCCCGTCACAATCCCTGAGCCTTGGGAGGAGGTAACTTCAGTCTACACAGTTTTTATCTTCTGTTTCTTGTGGGTCAAGCAAAGCACTAGGTGAAAGGTTGTGTCAGATTCTCTTGTGATTATTCTAAACTAATTCTTCTCAAGTTCAATGGCACAAAAAATCTAAAATGTCAAATACTTAAGTAGGAAATGTTATGGAGTGGGTGGCCCTGAACCACTGATCCCTACATCTGCACTATTAGGAGGGCAGGGATGAGAACAGAGGTCACTTAGCATAGGTTCAAAACCGCTGGTCATCACAGTAAAGTCCTTTTGCAAGGCTATAAAAACGCCACGGATTCAGCGTATAAATCGTTCAGTTTGACCCTCCAAGCCCATACACTAAAATCTAACTGGATAAGATGTAGATGTTTAATGTCAGGCCGCGGAATGAATGTATTTGTAAAGAAGGAATTCTGGACCCTAGGCTAAAGCTGTGTAAGAGGAGTAATAAGTGCCAATTTGCCCCTTATTCATCAGATTCCTTCCATGACATCATCAAGCCTTGCTATGGCAGGTATGCTGAGCGGAGATAGTCACGGAGACCTAGGGGTGGGGTGTGGCAAGTCAGGATTTGTCGTCCAATCTGAGAGGCCTGTGCAGGGCTTATATCAGGATCAGCTGTCCACTCCTAAAGGGATGGGCGGGGTTCAGAGGCGGGGG